TAAGGCCTTAAATTATAGTAGGATCCCTAATATGATTTAAGGTATATTCCTTAATTAAGGCCGTAAATTATAGTAGGATCCCTAATATGATTTAAGGTACATTCCTTAATTAAGGGGTCCCTAAACCCTAAACCCTAAACCCTAAACCCTAAACCCTAGGGGTATTGGAGTCTCTGGGACTCCAAGGCTCCCGAAGGAATGCCTGGAAGGTTTGAAACCCCCGCTGGGTTTCTCGAGCCAGATCTGTGAAGACTTTGTGCGGTTTAGGGTTTAGGGTTTAGGGACTGCGAGCGGCCCAGACTGGATCACGCTGCTTCAATGTAGGCATTCTACGGTAGGTAGGATATCAGGTGGACATTCGGGAATGTGGCGGTGCTACATCTCGAAGCGCGCTTTGCGCCAGTGCGTAAACTCCGCCATCGAGAAGACTGGCTCCAGGCAGTTCTTCAGCAAGCGCTTCGACAAGCTCTCCCACAACAGGGCCCCGGAAGGGCGCGTGAGGCTAGCCCGGCAGCGGTGCGCCAGAGTGCAGCGCACCCTCGGAAGAGGGTTTGGGCTTCAGGAGTTTAGGGGTCTAGGGGGTGTTTTGAGCCTGCCCTGAAGGAAGACGTGACCCGTAACTTTTAACTATTTCCTCATATCCAGTTATAATTATCTATAGCGAGCCCCGGCCTCGCATCTCGAACCCCAGGCGTCAGAAATTGAATTGTTAGCGTGTAATATAAGGGCCTTAATAGGACAGTACCCCTAAACCCTAAAGCCCTAAACCCCACACCCCATAACCCTGAATCGTAGAGCAGAGCGTGGACCAGAACAGCCAAGTCTACTCCAGACTGCTTCGACACCTAAAGACACAATATGGCCCGCAAGCACTGCTCCCATATGGGTAGTTCTCTAAATTAGGGCCTGTCTTAGGGTCCTTCTTATAAGGGTGCCGTACTATATTGGGGATTTAAAAAGGGACCCTAATTTAGAGAACTACCCATATACTCCTGAACTTTGCCGCCTGACTGCAGTCTTGAGCTCATGATCATCAGCTGCTGGCCTCACGAACCCAAGTTTAAGTATAACCCCGAAACTTCCAAAGAAGCTTAGCACCCAACTCCGCAAAAGAGTACCTACTCCTGGACTCCTAGAGACCTTAAGAACTCTAAACTAACCCTCGAAACCCTGAATCCCTAAACCGATAAGCCCTAAAGCCTATAAACCGTCAACCCCTCTAACCCTTAAACTTCCTAAACCCGGCCCTAGACCTAAACCCTTCAGATCCCTCCATTCCAGAACCCTTTTTTGGGAACCCTTATATACAGGAGCCCCCGAAGCCCTAAAGCCTAAACCCTAAACCCTAATCCCCAAACCCTAAACCCCAAGCTCTAAACCCTAAACCCTATAAACCCTAGACCCTAACCCTAAACCCTACAAACCCTAAACCCTAAACCCTGAACCCTATAAACCCTACAAACCCTGAACCCGAACCCTATAAACCCTAAACCCTGAACCCTAAACCCTATAAACCCTAAACCCTAAACCCTATAAACCCTAAACCCTGAACCCGAACCCTATAAACCCTAAACCCTGAACCCTAAACCCTATAAGCCCTAAACCCTAAACCCTAAGGCCCTGCTTGAAGCGCAGAGGCTGCGAAGGGCGAACGGCTGCCGGCCTCTTGGTCGGCCCTGGATCCGGGGCGAAACAAGGCCAAGGCCCACTCTTCTGTCTGGTGCTTAGCAGGGAATCGGGGCATGGATCCCTATGATAGTCCCTTAAGGTCCCTTATAGTAGTCCCTATAATCCATTCCCCCATTCCCTACTAAGCACCAGACAGTCTTTGAGGAGCTGTTCCGTAAAGGGTTTAGGGTTTTAGGATTTAGGAGGTATAGGGCTTTAGGGTTTAGGAGGTAGGGTTTAGGGTTTAGCAGGTATGGTTCAGGGTTTAGGATGTGGGGTTTAGGATTTAGGATGTGGGGTTCAGGGCTAGGGAAGTTTAGGATGTAGGGTTTCGGGGTTAGGAGGGTAAAGGGTTTAGGGTGTAGAGTTTGGACTTGGTTTAGGGTTCCTTTACGGTCAAGCAGCCACTGCGTGAAGTTGCCAGGATTTGCCGATCTCGCGGCTGTGGGAGACGTGGGAGGAGGAGGTCGGGGTCACCAGTGGCCAGTTCTCTGAACTAGCCCCTTCTGCGTCCGTCCCCAAATATAGCACGGTACCCTTTAAAAAAGGACCCTAATTTCGAGAACTACTCCAGTGTTGCTTCTTGCTTTTCGGCTAAATAAGGGTCCCTTTTAGGGTCCTTTGTGTAATAAGAGTGCGTACTATTTTGGGGACCTAGAAAGGGACCCTAACTTAGAGAACTAGCCATATCAGGTTGTGGGGCTTGGATTGGAGCTCTCTGCTTGCGGTGCTAGCTATGGGGTGGCGGTTTAGGGTTTGGGGTTTATGGTTTAGGGTTTGGGGTTTATGGTTTAGGGTTTGGGGTTTAGGGTTTAGGGTTTGGGGTTTAGGGTTTAGGGTTTAGGGTTTAGGGTTTCTTACTCTAGTGATTGAGGGCGGTGTCAAACCTGCAGAAGGCCAAGCCAATATCGCACCTAAACCCCTAAACCCTGAGCCCTATAAACCCTAAAACCCTATAGGCCGTACACCCCAGAAACCCTAAACCCTTTAGACCCCAAACCTAGACCCTAAGACTTAGGCCCTAAATCCTACCCCAAGACTGGGAAGAGGCTGAGCTTAGCCCTACAAGCCCGACATAAAGGATCGTGGGACTTAGTAACTAGGGTTATAGATGAATCCGAATAGTCTGCCCTGACAGAACCCCCTGAAGAACCCTTAGCATGCCTTCTACTTACAGGATCATGGGACTTAGCAACAGGATAAAAAGACGTCTTGAAGAATGCCTGGTAAATGTTGCACAATACATCTCCGAAACCCCAAACCTTAACCTCGGTGGTAGACCCTAAGCCCTAAACCCTGAACCCTAAACTTAAACCTCAAACCCTCAAACCCTCAAACCCTAAACCCTAAGCCCGGTGGTAGTCCTTAAACCTAAACCCCAAACCCAAGCTCGAAGCCCGAGTGCCCTCCGAGCTGCAGGAGCACAAATACCTGGGAACCAGCGCGGTGGAACAGGCCGGAACAGCACCTGTGGATAATCTAGAAGCCTTAACAGTTACCTATACTACTTTGTGGGTTCCTGATTACCAGTATGGTATAATCTACCCCCCCAAAACCCTATTCTAATTATTCTGGCCCCTACATTACGTTATCGGCTCTTTGGGCTTACAGGCGTCAGGGCTCATAGGGTTTCGGGTTTAGGGTTTAAGGTGGCATTTTCGGCACCAAGCTCGAGCTGGAGGTTGCGTCGCGGTCCAGGGTTCTCGTGGAATTCGCGCTTCGTTGAAACACTTCCAGCATGTTGAAAGGAGACCATGAGGAAGAGGATCCCAAGAGACCACCCTCAATTGCAACTGCCGAGTTAAAGGCCAGCGCTGCTTCTCAGAGAACTTTACGCCCCAATAGGTTGGGGAGGAGACTGAGCAAACGGCCTGAGAAACACCTGGAAAGTGAGGGTTGCTGGGCCTGGGAACTGGCTTTGTTGGGCAGCTGCAGTGCCGTGAGACGAGACCCGAGTTTCGTACATGTGCTGAAGGGCAATCTGCGATGCCGAAGTTTTCAGAGCTGCCGCTTCAGCTTCTAACCCCTAAACCCTAAACCCTAAACCCTAAACCGCCGCTTCAGCTTGAATTTGTTTGTCAAGCAGTACCTTTGCAATGTTGCAGCTCTCATCCGCTTCAACTTGAATCCGTTTGTCAAGAAGTACAGTTGAAGATATTTGGTTTAGGGTTTCGGGTTTAGGGGCATCTTATCTAGAGGGATTTAGGGCTCTTGTGTTTGAAGGCCTTTCGGTCGGTGGCGGGTTCAGCCTTGTAGGATTTGTTTGGCTTAGGGTTTTGGCTCAGGTTTATTGAACTATTGTCTGAATGTTCTAGAATGATTGAGGTTCTCGTAACTCGCAGTATAGCAGCACACGCTCCAGAACTGAGAGGTGTTAGGCAGATCTGTCGATAAACACCTCATAAAACGCTTATGCATCCCGCATAACTCCTCATAAAACCTCGGTTTCCCTCTAACCCCAAAACCCCAAGCTCCTGAACCTCCTAAGCCCTAAGCCCCAAAGCCACAAGCAGATTCTGAACCGCAAAGACCAAACACTCAGGGGACTTCGTAAGTGAGGTTACAATTAAAGTTTTCATTAGGATGGCCCTACGGTAGAAGCCCAAAGGTTGGACACCAACAGCTTCAATCCTTACGAGTGTTGCTTATGGAATCCCAGCGCTAGTTGTCCTGAATCCGGTTTCCAACTTTGTGGGGTCTGCTGTACATATGCTTAGGGGGCCTATAATCCGCGTTGTAGCCTCCTAAACCCTAAGCCCTAGCCCCCTCAAGGTTTACTGTGCCTAGGGGACCTACAACCCCCCAAAAACAAGCCCCCTAAAGCCTCAACCCGAAGCCCCCTCAAGTCAAGGGGATCCATATTCCGAATTCTGGCCTCCTAAACCCTAAGCCCTAAACCCTAAACCCTAAACCCTAAACCCTAAACCCTAAACCCTAAACCCTAAGCCCCCTCCAGGCCCAGCTGGTTGGCAAGTCTGGGCTGGCTGACGGCAGGCACTCCAGGGCCTGGGCTTTTAGGGTTTAGGGTTTGGGAT